TTCTAGACAATCTTTTGTAAGTAAATGGTGATTGTGCTGAGTTATTTTAACAACTTCCCTGTGTGTTAGTCTTCTCCAACGTACACTCAGGAGACGACTTCTTTCCATTCCTGTTCTAAATGGATGTAAAAGGAAAACTCTGAATCTGGATCGCTCGGGTAAACTGCATGGAAAGGAGGAGCAAAACTGAGACTCAGGGACAGATCAGATTTTTGAATTCCTAGCTTGATGATTTATACTGTGTGCAGCTATTATAAAACCCTTGACCCCTGCCTTTGGGCATTCACATACCAAACTTAAAACTTGCAGCTTGCTCTCGTCTCTGCATCATTTACTTTTTGCACTCATTTGCCCTCCACTACAGCTCGCTGTATTAACAGTCCAAATATTTATTTAAAATAAATAAACATTCTGCCTTCCCTGACCCAGCCTGGGCACTTCACAGCTACTGCTGCATTTCAGTGCCCCATCCAAGAAACCTGCTTCATGACAGCACCATACAAACATCCTCGAACAAGTTTTTCACTCACAGTCCTTTTGTTTAGTAGATTTGATGATGCGTCAACCTATAGTTTTATTCTAGGTGCAGACAGCACCATCCCCAGCAGTCTGGGCTTGCCCAACACAATGGAAAAGACAGGATGAAAATACAAGGATCCATGGGAGACCTTGGATTAAATGGCTCTGCAAGAGGGAACTGGCATCATTCTGTTGGTAGCTGATCAAACCCAAAAGAGGTAAGGAAAAGATATCTGTGCTTTGAGAAAGACAACAACGTAGCATACACATAAGGAATACAGGAACAATATAGTAACTGTATAACAAGAAAAGGCACAAAATGAAGAAAAGGAGAAGGCTAAAGTTGCCATATTTTATATTATGAACTTTTATAACCAGAGTGAGGCAAATGGAGAGACAGTATGGAAACAAGAATGATGGAGCTGGGAAAGGGCTCTGGAGCAATATGAAGAAGACAGTTGCAATAGTATTAAAATATAAAATATTAAGTACTTCTTGGCGTAACAACTTCTATGTAAACATCAGGATAAGATCATGGGGCATTAAAATAAACATGTAGGCATAGAGTTTTAAACCATTCTTAAGTGTAATAAGCAAGCAGCATGCACTGGGATAGGACTCAGTGTTAGATAAAGCCCTTCATCTATCTCTTGAGCATCCCTTGAGGAGCTGCGAGCTGCAAAGCTGTGAATCCAAGAAAGACCTAAAGGTGATTGCAAGCAGCAAAGTAATCGTTTTTCTGTGTGAGGCTGAAGAAAGATGGGGAAGAAGCCCAGCTATTTTGGGGTGGGTATATATGAGGGGATCATATGGAAAGTTGAGGCATAAGGCTATGTTAAAACAACTGCATGCTGGTGGAAACAGCATAAGATGTTCAGGTCTCCCCAGGTTAGATAAGGGACGGAAAAAAATAATGGAAATATAAATAAGGGCAATAAAAATGATCTAAGGAGAGAGTAAGGGAGCTAAATTAATATGGTCTAGAAACAAGAAGACTCCCGGGCTGAGATCCAGCTATAAATACCTTCAAGGAACTATGTGCAGAGGCAGATAATTAATCTAGCTCCAAAGACGATAGGACAAGGAGTAATTCCTTGAATTTAAGGATGGAAAAATCCAGGATGTAGAGTAAGAATAAGTTATTTGAAGAAACACATCTGCTCAACAGCACAGACTCTAACCATGGCAGCCAAGGCACACTTACTGTCTGCATCCAAGAACAGGCTTGGGAATAAGGGGCTCTGGGAAGTGGTCACAGCCTTCTAAAATCCAAAGCAATCACCACAGACAAATTTACTGATCTTTCTTTATGGGCTGACAGACTGCTCCTCTTGGGAAAAAAAAAAGAAAAAAAAAAAAAGAAAGAAAGAAAGAAAGAAAGAGCTATATATCCACGCAGCAGTAATACACAGCCCCAGAGCGCAGAAACGGGGGTGAACAGCGCTCCGATGTGCAAGCCAGCCACCAGCAACCCCACTAACTCTACAGTTATTGGTGGTGTCTGCTGACCCAACTGGCAGATTTGTTGAGTCTCAACAGTGAGGTCAAGGGGTGAAGGGGAACTACCTTTATTTCTTGTTTTACTGATACTCACAGTCTTCCCCAGCCCTGTGTTAAGAGATCCTGCATGCAAACTTTCAAAGTTGCTGCTTAAACTACGCGTTTTGTCTATGATTAGGTGAAAAACAACACTAGCAGTATTTAACCATCTTCAGGAGCACTAAAAGACACTACTATTTCAAAATAAAATAAAAAAGCAAAGCATTTGTAATAAGTCTCAGATTTTTTCAAAGACAAATGGGTATACACAATTGAGAGGAATATAAACCCGTTATGCACCATTATTACCCCCCCCATTCGAAATATCCCATCCCAACTGCACTCACCAATCGGGACTTCTGTCCCCTCCTCAATGTAGATGGGCAGTGGTGATTCCTCCATAGGATGAGGCACTGATGGAAAGTAATGAATTGTGGTAGTATTTGTCGCAAAGTGACAATAATAAGATGGTCCCTTTCTTAACATTACAACTACCTACGGCTGGTTATTGTCACGGAGTCCTTTTCCAAAGGGGTCACCTCCTGACAGGGTGACCTGTCCAATTCACACTCCAAGGGGCTAATCCCCATGGAGTATTCGGGGCCACAAGAGTTAACCCCCCTCCTGAAAGTTCACAGGGCCCAGGAGAAGTCCCTATCCTGGATGATGCACGAGCCTGGCGCTTGGCCATAGCCTCGCTATTGATGTCCTCGGAGTTCAACTCTCTTTTGGAAACCTCTACAGGTGGAGAAGCCAAGGGGAGCCAATGCACAGACAGGCACAAGTGGAGTTATCAAGTCTAAGTCGTCGTATCTCATGCACAGAACCAGAAGAGAGAGGCTCTGATGCTTAAAGCTTGCCTTTTACTGTTGAGAAGCCACAGCAGGTGCTGGAAGGATGTATCACAAATGACCTACGGACCACAGCCTTTTATTATTCACTTTAGAGGGTATATATTTGACTTACGAGGCTCTTCATAAATTGTTTATGAAATTGAGATCACTAGAGAAAGCTCTTAAAAAAACTGTACTGCACTAGGCTTCATGCTTTGGTTTACAATTTTGGGACATCACACGGTCACATCGTGAGGATTTGTTCTTTTCTACTGGGAGCTTCTTCCTTTAAAGACAATTTCATTAAACTATTTCTCATCTAACATCTCTGGGAAGCATGTGAGGCACACGCTTTTCAAGATGTTTGAATTTCCTTTAACAGAATGCAATAATAACGAAATACTAATGCTGAAAACTGTAATAATGAAAAGACTTCTGCAATTTTTCCCCCTCTGTTACCACTTAAAAATGATGATGTATCTTCTCAAAGATACAAAACTTAAGCTAGTCTCAGCTGGGATTCCCACTGCAAGAAAGGACTATTCTTACTCACTTGTGGGGCTTTCTTTCCCTCACTAGAGGCTTTCTTCGGAAAGATTGCCCAGTGATATCCTTAAAACCAGCCAAAGAATGGGTCGTTTAAAGCTCTAAAGTGTCTTAGAACCTTTCTGCTAGAAACACAGTCTCAATCTAGAATATTTTCCAACAGATGTTTGACTAGCAATGGGCCTCATGCAAACCCACCCTCATATTTTGCTGGATTCAAAGGGCCTGCAATTCTCCTGATACCCCTAACCCCACCTCGGCCTGAAAATGGAAAATGAAGGGGAGCACAGGGGAAAAGGAAGAGCAGAACACGGTTGTCTACCATACTACCATACAAGCCACAGAAATCATGGTCTACAAAGGCGCCTTGCGCAAGCCGCGTTTATCTAGAAGCTGAACTAACATTCCAGCCCAACAATAGCAAAAAAACATTTGTTACCACACGGCCTTTTGCTACACATTAACCAGCAGTTGCTATGCAAGCATAATGGAGTGCTGAAATTCAGAGATATATGTTATTTTTCCAACAAAATGTTGATCTACGGCAAATCAGCCTCGTGTGAGTGCTCGTGGGCTTGCCATGCCACTTGACACAGTACATGCTTCGGAGTTATGCAAAGCAGGCCCTGCATTGGGAACAATGCAGTCATTTTCCTTGCTAAGCTAATTTTGCATTAAGGCAATGACAGTCTTGGTCTATGCAGCCCCTTAAAGCATTTAATCAAATTTATTTACTAGGAAGAACTACCAGAGCCAAACGTACTCTACTAAAGAGTTTTCAACTCAGACATCCGCAAGCAAACCAAGTCACTGGGTGATATGGAAAAAAACTCTTGTATTTTTATGACATGCAGCTTTCCTTGTCCCATGAAGAATACTGTACCAGGCTCACCTCGACTGAGCATTTAGTGGAGCCAAATGCTCTCAAAAAAACATTTACAACAGTATTCACCAATGGATGGTTGCATTTACTCTTATTTTAACAGGTATCATCAAGGATTATAGAAAAGACCTGCAACATCTATATGCTATTTGAGGCCAAATATGCATATATCCACTCTCTCGCACCCACACGCACATATACATGCACACGCAGGTAGACATGCACGCAAACAAATGACTCTACAAGCAGAACTTGGATTTTGTAGAATCCAAGATAGAGAAGCTTATTCTTGTGATAGGATCTGGGAATTAGGGACTCTGGGGTTCTGAAATGAGCACTAACTCGTAACTCCTGTTTCCTCTTGGTCTCGGGGAAACTGCTTCAATTTTATGCCTCCACAGAGCTCCCATACCTAATTTAAGGGCATGCTGCTTAAACGGCTACTGTAAAGCTCTTTACATGGGTTCCTAAATTCTAGAGTGACATGCACAGAAGACCTGCACAGATAGATAATACTTAAGGTAACAGTTGCTGAGTATTATTATTGTACAACTACAGCCTATTTTTATATGCTCTATACTTGGTTTCTATGAACAGATGGTATGTGTTCAGTATTTGAAAGTTCTAAGTATCTTCATAGCCCTTTTGTAATTTCATAAACAAGTATAAATAACACTTACATGAAGAAGAGTCTCTTCTGAATGGTTTTTCTCTTCCTGTTCAGAGAAAAGAGAAAAAGCAAAAAAAAAAAAAAAAAAATTAAGAAAAAAAAATGGGTGTAGCAAGACAAATCAGGCATGTTTTAACATTATCATGCATGGTGTTTTCTGAATTTCATCTGAGTGGGCATAAGCTTCTGAAGACCATCCGGATGCTGAATACAGTAACAACACAATAATAAGACACTACTAAAACACCACAGAAATGTTGGCTGCATCTGTCTCATAAGCAAGAAAATTGCAAAATAAAAAGCAAATGTTACCCCGATCTAAAGCAGAAAGGAGGAACTTTTAATCACCTTCCTGCTCACTGACAGCCCCTGTGCATGGACCATCTACTGCTCCTCCATGGACCTCCTACTGCTCCTGCTAACCTGTCTACTGTAGCACCCCAAAGCAGGGCCCTCCTTCTGCATTGGGGCACCGTGGAACTTCTGTTTCTCCTCCTGTACCCAAGCAGCTGTGACATTTAAACCCATGCCCTGGGACCAGCGAAATGACAACGTTCTTCAAGGCTATGACCATTCTGGGCCACAGAGAACCCACAACAGGAAACCCTTTAACTGCTACAATGAACAAGCCTCCCTTAGAGCTAGTGCTTTCAAAGCCACCCTGCTGCTGGCTCCTGCCACCCGCCTCCCTCACGTCTGCAGCTCAGGGCTCGTGTTCATGGGTTTGAACCTGGTTTTTGTGAAGGCCTTTGGAGCAGTTCTGGGTTAGTACCGACCTCCCTTTCGCTTGTGTAAATCTAGCCAAGCTGAAACACAGAAAAAGAAGGGTCTGGAGGCAGCAGATGCTGCCGGGCAGCAGCCACGGTTACTCTGCTCCTTCCCGAATGGCAGATCCGCGGCACAGCAGCCCTTCCCATGGCAACCTCCTTGGGAAAAGAAGGACGATGCCATTTGCATGTTTTAAACTTCCCGACCAGATTATCTTCTATCACTATTATCCTCCATAAGCAATTTAAAGGGCACTGCTTAGAGTTTCTACGCCTTGGGATGATACTGAACGAGCACAAATCAATTAAACCCATGGCACTGCAACAGCTGAGGATTCGAGTAAAAATGCATTTATGGGGCAAGTCCAACACTTGTTAAATGGCCGAGGTTTCAGTTACAAGCTTTTCTTCCAAACACCAAGGACTCCATCCCGCAATCAGTCCATCCAAAGATGCAGCATTAGAATAAACCAGACCAGAGCCAGGATCACTTTAAAAAGCGTAACCCCGATCCACTCTGGTCACAAACGCAAAGCTAATGACCACAAGTCAGAGGCACTAATCCTACTAGATGGTCTATTCAAAGTTGCCTTTCTTAAACGATCTACAAATTATTAGTATGATTGATCAAATAAGCATTACTTGTGTAAGGCTTTAATCACCACAGCTCTCACATTTGTTTTTACGTGCTGTAATGTAGTTAAGCTTAAAAGAAACAAATCGGCGTAATCTTTTTTGAGTCATTTGCCAACATGATTAAATGCCCAAACAGGGCGTTGTTGCAGAGACACTTGCCTTCCTGGTGCAACTGGGGTTTTGCAGCAAAACTGAGGGTGCTTATGGAGTTAGAAGGGACAAAATTAAAATAAGTTGCTGCTGAGTCTTGGGATGCCTTGATGGAATCCTGGGAGCATCACTGCCCATGAAACACGGAAGCCTACGGAAAGAGCCCTTGGAAACACTCAGCCTGGACCTGGCTGGAAGCCACTGAGCTGAACCTCAGCCTTGCTTATGCAGAGTATTGATTTATGGGAAACCTCATTGAAATATCTACAACACTTGGCTGTGGGACCAATTCCTCCCCAGGGCTCTCCAAACCTAACGGCACTGGGGCACGGGAGGTTTCACAAGGCCTGTGCAGAAGGACTAAGCCAATCTAAAGAGGCTTCATCTTTCTTTCCACAGCAACGTTGCACCTCTTCTCACACGTATTTCAAAGGCACTGAGGACTCTTGCCACAGTTTGGACATTTCACCCTGGCCACTTAAGAAACCTCAAGACAACATCCCCCAGTAAGCCACAAGCAGGCAATTACCAACACGACAATATACCAGATTTTGCTCTTGTTTACATTTTACCAGAGCAAAATATAAGAAAAATCAGCAGCATTTGAAGCACCCCAGATTCATCCCAGATTCTGGAGTTAACCCCAAGAAACCTGGGATATTTGACCTAGCCCCTCCAAGGCGCAACCTCCTGCCCTCCAAGCTCCCCAGGGCCACCTGCAACCTCCTGCTTTCTCCAGGATGTCCCCCAAAACCCCAGGGCTTGCAGGGGACACGTTACTTAGTAAGAGACAGGGAGATGCAGCCTTTGGCCTCCTGGTCCCCCTGGGTGCCGGTTTTGTGCCCTTCCCCAGGGCACCCATGGGGAGGGAAGGTGTCTGTCGCCCTCCAGTGGGAGCAGCCTCAAAGCAGCCCGAGCCGTGAGCAAGGTGGGAAAGGGGGAAGAAAAGGAGCAGGTGAGACAGGCAAATAAAGAGCAGAAGAAAACGCAAAGCGGATAGAAGGGAGCAGGAGTTAATGAGGAAACACAAAAGATGCTTTCTCTGCAAGTGTCAAAAACGCTACCCCAAGTTCCCAGTGCCAGCCTAAGCACCAAGGCGGGCTCCGGCCAGGCTCAGCCTCAGTTTACTCCCTCCGGTTATGGTAAGGGTCACCGCTGCCAGGCTAGCTGGCTGCTTTTCTTGAAAAAAATACAAATAATAAAACTGCTAAAAATAAAACCCCGTGCCCTCTGCCCACGCACAACACTGCACGGGCGGTGACAGCCATCACGGAAGTCTTTCCATAATACTCATGCAGAGGTGGACAATGCCAAAAAGCAGCCAGCTCGCTTGGATCCAAATCCCCGAGTAAATACCCGCCTGTCAAGCCCAGCGAGGTCCTGAGCTGAGCTTTACCGCTTGCCGTCCCGCGGCACCGGCTCCAAAGGGCCCGTTTCCCTACGAAGCCAAACGAGGCACCTAACGAACGCGGCAGCGAGCGCCGGCCGCGGACGGAGCCGCTCGCCCACGCAGCGGCCGCACTTTCTTTGCTGCTCCGAAACTCGAAACATTTTGACATGCAAGCAGAAAATACTGCAGTTACCGAAATAGCACTATAAACACCACCAGCTCCTCTCGGAGCATTTTCTTAATGCCTTTCCCAATACGGTTAAAAAAATGGGAACTAACCAAAGCCTCCATCTTTACACCTTGGCACAAGCAGTGCTGGAACACGCGTGCTGCTGTGTTTCATTGAGTCTATCTATCTACATCTTCCCGCATGGCTCCTTTTATTGGTGATTTAAGTGTCCTTCTCGTTAAAGAGAAGAACTCCCCTTTTACAACTGACACACACAAAGCGTTGCCGGTCCTAGAGCTGCCGAAGGAAGACACCGTTCGCCTCCCGCTTCCCAACTACCGCCCGCGCTGCACATTTCTCTGCCTAGGCGAACTCAAATAAATGCTCCCATGTTCTTATATGGCAACCTTGCACGTCCCTCCACACGCACGCCGGCCCTTACGGCACCAGCTGGAGCCGGGCTTTATCTTAAAGCCATCAGGCAAGATTTTTAATCCAAGTTACCCCACGACGACCAGTGCCTTTCTGGTCTTTGGCCCCCAGCTGAGCCCGGTAACCTGCCCTGCGCAGCCCGGGTCCCGTCACAACTTTGGCTTCATCTTGCCACGGAAGGACAAAAAAAAAGACAAAAAGGGTTGAGAAAATAAAGGAAGGAGCAGAAGCGGCAGCACCTGGTAGGCCCGTGAGCATCGCACGCGCTGCCGGCAGCAGCCGCTTAACGTGAGGTTAGCGCGAGGCAGCCAGAAAAAATACAGCGGGGAAGGGGGGGAGGTGAGAAAAAATGGTAAAAATAGCCGGGGAAGCGGCGCCGCGATGCGCGGGAGGGCGGCCAGCAAGTGCCTCGGGGTGCGCTGCGAGCAGCCAGCTTGGGGGGAATAAGAAAAAGGGGGAAAAAATAAAGTTAAGGCAAGGCGGTGTGCTGGGAGGAGGCGCGGGGATAAAATAAAGAAACGGGGTGCGCGGAGCGGACAAAGCGGAGGCGCCGCCGCCCGCGGCCCGGTTCGGCGCGCGGCGGTTCCGCTCGGCCCGGCCCGGCCCGGCGCGGCGCGGCCGCCCTTTGTTCGCCGCCCTCCCGCCGCCCCCGCGGGCGCCGCTACCTGCGTCCGCTGCCCGCGGTGCGTGCGCGCCCTGCGCCCGTGCGGCGCGTCCGGCGGAGCGCTGCGGCGCGACTAGCAGCGCCGAGCGGGAGGAAACGGTAATTTATAAGCGCTTTCTTCCTGACCTCTCGTGTCTGTTGTCTAATGAGGGAGCTTTGAGCATCACCCATCCTGCTGAGTGGAAAAACACCGGCACGGCCTCTTCTTTGCTGGGGAGGGGGGAGCCTAAAGGAAGGCGTGTGGGGGGAGGAGGGGCCTCGCCGCAGACGCGGCGGCCGGGCCCGGGCTGGCGGGCGGCCGGGAGCGGCGGGCGGCGGCCCCGSCCCCCCCCGGCTCCCCCCGCGCCGCGGGGCCGCGCCCGGCAGCGCCCGCCGCCGCCCCGCGCTCCTCTCTGCCTTTTTTCTTTTTTTTTTCTTTTTTCCCTTAATTGTCGCCGCCACAAAGGGCGGCCTCGCTTTAAACAAAGCGGCGGGGCGCTGGCGGAGCTGTCCCCGGCGTCGCGCTCCGGCGACGGGGCGGACGGGGGCCGCTTTTCGGCGCGAGGGGCTCCGGGGGCGGGAGGGCGCCTGGCGTTGGCAGCGGGGCCTGGCAGGTGCCGCCTCGCTGCCCTTGGCCCGAGGAGCAGCCCCCGGCACCGGGAACAACGTGGGGAACAACGTGGTGGAGCGCGGCGGGCGCCGTGGCTGCTCCCGCACGGGAAGGGCGCTGCGGCGGGAGCGTCTCCTCCTCTCCGTCTGCGAACAAAAGGAGGATTTTGCGAGCGCGCCCGCGGGAAGGCTGCTCGGGCACCGCGCGCCCCGCGGCGGCAGCGGCGCCTCCGTGGCAGCCCCGCGCGCTGGGACGGCAGCGAGGGGCAGAGGGAGCGAGGAGCGCGCGCAGCCCGGCTGTGTCCCCACGCGTGGGGCGCCCGGCACCTGTGTGGAGGTGGCTGCGGGGAGCGGATTCCGTCGCAGCAGCCTCCGGGGAGGTCTCTGGCCAGGGCTTTCTCCTGGGCTGCCTCCCTTAGCGCGCACAGAGCTGCCCCGCTCTGCAGACTCCTCCTCTGCGATGCGGTACGCGGGGGCAGCGCGAGGTCCCCGCGCGCTCTGCCACTTCCCACCACCCAGGCCCATGTGCGAAGCAGGCAGGTCTCTTAAGTGCCACACAGACACAGGTAGATGATGAAGGCAGCTGACTGAAGGGCTGTCTCCTGCAAACAGACCGCTCCGAACCAATTACACGCGGTCGCGCGTGCTGCCGCCTACGTGTCGTGCTCCAGGTGTGTCACGCTTCGCATCCCTGGGCAGCCCCGGCAGCAGCAGCCGCGTTGTGCGGGACGCAGCCGCCCGCAGCTCCTGGGCCCCGAGCTGGAACGGGGGCAAAACGGGGCAAAACGGTGGAGGGGACAAAACGGTGGAGGGGACAAAACGGTGGAGGGCAGCGCGGCCGCTCGCTCGGCGGATGCCCCCGCGTGCACGAGGAACCCGCAGTCGCATGGGTGAAACGTTAAGTAGCCGCTGGAGCCTCCTCTGGGCGCCGCATCCTGCCAGCACAGCTGTCCCATTGACAGCAGTGGAATATTTTGCTCAAGTTCTCTAGAGGAATCAAAGCCTGTGTTTTCTGTCTCTGGCTCTCTCTTGTTCTGTTGTTTCTCACCATTAAAAAAAGTCAGCCACAGAAAGCACATGGTTGCTCTTTGTGTTTGCAAAAAGCCCATAGCTGTTTTGAAGTCTGAGGCATGTAAACAGTACCTGGCACTAAGTGGGATAACAATAATAATAATTAGTCCTTTGGTGCCCTAAATACGTGCGTCCCTGTCTGCTGTTTCGTGACGAGGCAGCACAACTTGGGAACGCGTGTGGATTGAGGAAGGGCTGGAGGGATTCGGGGGTTTCTGCCGTTGGTCGCAGCAGCATCAGGCAGCTCTAATTCCTCCGGCTTCCCCAGCTCAGTTATGTAACCGCATGCAGAAGTTGGAGCCCAAATCACAAAGCATATCCATGCGTGTAGCATTAAGTATACAAGTGGTGCCTTAAATGACTATCTCTTCCTGTAGGTCTGGTTTTAATCTCCTATCGGTATTTTTAGTTCTGCAGTTCCATTGATTTTGGTGGATTCAGTCCTTATGTGCACTGGTGCCATTAAGAGCAGAATCAAGCCTGCACTCCTAAAAAGTCAATCAAGGTAACATTAACCAAAACTTCAATTAGATAGGCCAAAATCATATGCATTATAGGAATTCCAACAACTATGGAGTCTGCCATGTCTAGAATTTATCTAGTATTAAGATGCAATATGAAAGCAGAATATACGTTCTGTGACTGCCTTGCAAATCAGCTGCAGCAGCAGGTTTTGGCACCCCGGTGCAAGGCAGTTTGGTAATCACCTTCCTCTGCATTTTGCCTCTTTTCTGGAGACTCTTTTCCCCGTTAACAGGCTGACCTGCTTTATGGAAAGGTGCTGGGTGCAGACAAAGTGTGCACCTTTTGGATCTCGTTAATCCAATAACTCTTTTCTAATCTTCACGTCTAGGTCGCAGAGTTTAAAACAGACACTGGGCCAAATCCCAGGCTTGGCTGCAGCATGTGTAAATCTACTAGGAAGACACTGAAGGCAAATGAGATTCTTTGCATTTGCACCCTGCAAAAGAGGTCTCAAAGGGCAGTGATGCCTAATTTTGCAGATGGGTGCAGATTAGCACAAATATATGGCCATTAGGTCAGATTTCTATCGGGAGAAGTAGCTGGACCTAGTTTGGAGTACTCTCAGCAAATTCTCATATGCTTTATATTGAAATGAATTAAATATTTCTTTTTTTCTTCAGGAAAAGAACTCATTTCTTTTCAATGTTTGGCTGCCAAAGAGAACATGTTTACCGTACGCAGGAGCAAGGCAGAACAAGAAAAAGAAGTAGATCATGTAGGACCTGAGAAGATTTTACCTATCAACATTAAAACAAAAAAGCAAAATGTACCCAAGTGCAAAGTCCATCAGGAATCTGGGAACAAGTGGACACTCTATATGTAAAGAAAGGTATGTAGGCAAGGATGGCAAAAGGAGCCTCTGAACAAGCTCATCACATGAACGATTCTTTGAATGCAAACTTTGCACACAGTCCTATGTAGGGGCAGCCTTTGGGGTCCCCTAATATGACAAAGGACCCTGAACTCAAAAAAGGGTACCAGATTTTGTGAGGGATTTGCAAATGAGGCAGTGACTCTGGACCACAGCTCTTAAGCACTGCTAAACCAGGGAATAGAATTGTTGCTATTACAGACCAGGATATTTCACTAATCCATGCAATCCACTAAGTTGCTGTAGTTTTAGTCTGTGTTTATTTTAGATGAAATTATGGCCTGGACAGTTAATTTTTTCCTAGTTACCCAATCAAATCCTCCAGAGATAAAAATCAAGCAAAATTCAAAGTGTGACCTGTGGGTTTTGTACAGTCCCCCGTCACGTGAACCTGCAGACACTGCACTACTGCACCAGCCGAGCAAACAAATAAACAAAAACAACGGAAAGCTCCAGCTCTTCTTAAAAATTAGTCCCACTGGCTTTAAATTATATTAACAATGCAATTTTAGCACTGGTGGTGGCCTATTTCGCTTATATTTGACCTGGCCTAGCCATTACGGGATTGCCCCCACTGGTCCTTTTCTTGTGTCAAGTAAATGACACATGAACTTTCCGAAGACCAGGCGAGTTCAGGAATGTCTCTTCTTTTCCATAGGCTGATGCCTAAAGTGAGGGGCAAACCTGGAAGCAAACAGCCTGGAACCGAAGTGGTCACACCGGCCTTTGGCAGGAGCCGAGGAGCTCCAGTTGAATGGCAGGCAGCTACCTGGAAATAAAAGACTCTGCTGTTTCCACATGTTTACATTGCGATTTCCAAGAGCTCCTGAGCAATTTAAAGTCCATGAAAGGAATGCACTATAGAATGAAAAATACAGGTATTATTAAAGCATGTCTCCAAACTGAAAGCTAGCCAGGTTCATAAAAAGGAGTTAAAAGCAATAACAGGTTTCTGCCTCCTGCTGGATGCTGTATGAGCCATATGTTTTACATTTTTAAGTCACTTTTAAAAGAAGGTTTGTCTCTTTGCTGCTTTTATTGTGAAAAAAGAACAGTAAAACAATGCATAAAATGAGGTTGAAGTAATTAATTAAAAAAATAATGTGTTTTCATCTTTAATTCATATTAAGTCATTTGGGAGTCTAACTTGTAAAAAAAGATAAAGGATTTTGAAGGATGCCTCTTTCCCTTTAAGAGTAATGATAAACATACTTGGATAGTCAAGGGAGAATAGATCCACTGTTATGTAACCGGATAAACAAAATCCCTTTTCCTTAAATTAAAATGACCAGGATGCGTGTGGATTTTAGTCCATCAGTGAAAAATCAAGAAACTTTTTTTCTTTCACAGAGGCATTCTACATGCTAAAAACTGAGCTCCTCTAAGTTATAGGTAGAATCACAACAATTAAAGATGAAAAAGATTCGTCTGTTCTTGACAAGCCCTTCGCCTACACAAGATTGTTCCCTGAAGGAAAAGCCTACAGCGCTTGTTCTATGCAAAGATCCAAATTTGTAATCATGGCTTTATTTTTTGTGGCATTAGTAAATCCAATTTTTGGTCCTCTCCAGGAAAATTCTTGCCTAGCACTAGAGATGCTATAACTTACCTCCTGTAATATTCACCTGAACTAACTATATCCTAAATAACAGCACTTAATGAACCTTGCAGTGTCTGTCTAAACAGTCTGTCTGCCTAAATTTACAAAAACAGTCAACAAATAAATATATATATAGCATATGTGTGTATATATATATGTGTGTATAAATATTATTTATTATTAGTGGTGTCACTGTTCTTTCCTGGCTCGGTCCTATAAGATTTGAAAAACACACACACACACACACACACACACATACACACACACACACACACACACGCACAAACCCACTATTTTCTACCACATAACCTGCATTTTCCACTTCTGTATTTTACCACGGCACTCATATCAGAAGTTCTGCATCAGAATTTGATATAGAAAGTTCCTCTTTATCACATGAATTCAATTTTCCAAGAGAAGCCAAAGAATGCTATTAATAACCAAGATACCAGCCCTGAAAAGGCTAAGTCTCCAAATGCACGCGCTGCAAAAAATGTCATCTTGTGGAATCTAATTCTGGAGTCATTATTTGATGCAAAGAGGAGCAGTTAGGCAGAGATCTGCACAGAAAGGGGCTGCTGAGTGAAGGTGCTTTCACTCTTGCCTGGAGGCAGCCTGTGCACTTCCCGGGGCTGCTTTAAGCTTTGTCTGCAGGCCGTGTCCATCGTGCTGATGTCGGCCGGGCCACGTCCATGTGCCCGAGTTTTGAGTCCTGAAAGCAGAGCCTTGAAACCTTGAAGTGAAACCAGCTCCCCCAGTGCAGCTGCAGTGCAGCTCCCCAGTCCACCCGGCGCAGGGTCTGGTCCATGACGGGGCTGCTTGGCTTGCAATGGAAAGGAGAGCACGACACTGTCCCCCGAATTGAGTCCGTCAAGCTGTGTCCCGTGCCTTGCCCAGCAGTGCTGCAGCCCTGCGCCCAGCTGCATGGTCCCCTCTGCCATCTGGTGATGCAGGGGCAGCAGGAGAGCTGGGAAATGATCCTAGAATCATAGAATTATAGAATCACAGAATCGTAGAATCACAGAATCATAGAATCAATGAATGCTTAGGCTTGGAAGGGACCTCCAGAGCTCATCTAGCGCAACTCCCAAATCAGAAGAATCAGGATCAGAAGGAGTGGTAGGTGATGGGGAAGAACGTGTGGCAGATCCGGCCAGGAAGAGGCCAGCACTGTGTGAGGCTGCCTTGCCCAGCTGCCTCCATTGCCACGTGGAGCTGGTCACCAAGCTGGGCACATCCCTGGTGACAGCGGACATCTCCGGGGAGGACAATCCAGCAATTTATGGTGGTGAGCTCACTAATGCAGACAACACTGGGGCCTTCTCGCCTTACGTGACTGCTCCGGAGAAGCAGATGGGTTTAGCCCTCCAAGGAGGAAGGAGCGTGATCGCTCAGGAGTATTCATACATGCTCATATTTCTTTTCACTTTTTTATGATCCCTCTGTTCCCTCTCAAAGGGATGGTGAAACACTTATGAATAGTGTATAAAAAATGATTGTAAAGTGCCTAGTTTATTCTGACAAATTACACTGCCAGTTGTAGGCAAACACTAAGAGAAAGCAGTGGAAGAAACAAAACCATTCCCAAGTGAATGCTTTACTAGCTCAGACAGATAGGATTTCTAGCTAGGTGAATTAATGCACTGCAAGCAGAGAAAGACAGCATCAGATGCTTGAGAAAGAAGCCAGAAAAAAAAAAAAAAAAAGAAAGAAAAGAAAAACAGGGAACATTTAAAATAAACCCTTCAAGCTATCCAGTAACTGCTCATTCGGTTACATGATTTTAATTAGCAAAACTGGAGAGCAAACATGTAATATAAACTTAAAAAACACAGCACTTTGGTTTTCCAGACTATCAGTCCAAATGCAAAACAAATTGCTCGCATCTGGCGGAGGCAGCGGAGGAGGGAGCCAGCGGAGGGAGCCTCTCTGCGGAGGGCCCTGCGGCCGCGCGGGGCACCCCAGGGTGCTCCCGCCTGCCCCTTCCCGCTGCCCCTCGGGGCTCGCACGCCCTCAGCACTGCCCAAATGCTCCAGTGGGGCCTCTGCTTTCACCTCTGCTACCCCACGGGCAGCAGTGTCGCTGCGGAGAGGCCGGGAGCTTCTGGGTGACCTAGAGCCTTCCTAAGCAGCTACCTCCTGGGCTTTGGGCTGGATATCAAGGGCTCATTCAGCCACAATCCCCACTGCCTAACAGCAATTCAGGAATACTCGCTGCGGAATCCCTGTGCTCCTCGCGCGGGATACCTGACTCCATCTCCCAGCCTGGGCAGACACAGCCTTTGGAAACCGTGTCCTTCCCAAGCAGAGAGCTCCTGGGCTGGCTCGCAGCCAGGGAGACTCATTCCATGTTGTTGGGAAAGGCCACGATTTGGGGAGTTTTCTTGTTCCTGTAAGCTAATGGGGTGTGTGTCTGCCTTGTTTCGAAGCCTCCTTGACAACAGTATTTCTATGAGATGCTTCCTCCCCACCTACTGAAAGTCTGACCCATTTAGGAAGGGGAAAACTTGACCCCCAGCTCCCACATTTCCTTGGGAAGGCTCAAACGCACCCAAGGCCATGCCGAGCAGCTGAGGTGGATGTGGGAGCACCTTGGCCAAGCACAAGGATGCCTGAGAGCCACAGGGAGGCACCTCCTTGCTGTGAGCTGGGCCCTGCGGCGCCTGGTGCTGCTCGGGGAGGACGCAGAAGAGCCGTGTGTCCCGTGCTAGGTCGGATCTTTGCTGTGTTTGCAACGCCTGTTGCTCTGCTCCTTACCTGGATCCTGGGAAATGGCTTTGGAGGAGTGCAGCCACATGGCTGGAGCTGTTTACATCACATTTCTGCTGCAGCTCCACCCTGCTTTCTCCATTTGCACTTCGTTTTCTATGAATAAAGGTCATGGCATTGGCATCACAAAAAAATATTGTTGCTGTAGAAGGAATTCAGCCGTCCCCTCTGGGTTATAAAACAAATCAGATGACAGGACAGAGTAATGCGCTTCAACTTGGGCAGGGAAGAAATCAGAGCTGGAAGAGAAGCAAAAGCCCAACATGGCTCTTTCCAGACCTCCAGCATGTCACCTGCTCCCTCCCTGTGCTGGATTCCTGCTTATGCTCCCGCATTTTGCACAACCCAGTTTTCGAGGTGCTCCTGCAAGGGTCTGCACGGCTCTGTCCTGGGTGCCTGAAGGAGGCTGCTTCCCAGCAGAATGGATCACACTCGGGGATCTCTTTTCTGATAGTCCAAGTCACCAGTGTCATCCTTGCTCGGTCAGGGGACACTGCAGGATAGCTGTCCCTACTGTAGTATGCCATACACAAAACGTGCTGTGTAGAAGGGAACATTGTGCCAGGAACCAGCTTGACTCCCTGGATTGTGTGGGATTCCAGCCTGGTTGTATCCCAGCTTCTCAACCAGGTTATTGACTAGGTTTGGATCAGAGGATAAAGTCTTGTGATTACAACCCTCATCTCAGCTGTAACTTTATGGCAAATGAGACCTTTCCCATGCTTCTGTGTCAAAGTCGACACTGACCTTAGTGTTTGTGCTGACGTCAAAAATAAAAATTGTTACACTTTTGGCTCGAAAGCCATTTTTATGGCTTCTATTTTGTCATTATGGGTGAGTCTCTTGAGATCTCTATTGTCTTCTACTCCTTTCAGTCTACCGATACTTTCTCCTAAGGTGACAGTTTAACTAGCTGCAATATTCCAGGAGTAACTTCATTGCCATGATTTGCACAGACCTGGCCACAAACTCTTGCCTCCTGCTTTTATGAGTCTCTTGGCATAGACCAAACTCTGAACTTCTGAGAATATGAAGGGAAACCAAAGGACTTTGTTGTACCGTTGTTACAGCCAAGGACACAGAACAGCCAGGGAAGTGAAAGCTGTACATCAAAAGCACTGGGAATACTTTTCTTGAGAAATACTCCTCAAGAAATCCCTTGTTTGCAGAATTCAAAAGGAAATATATTGGAAAAGGAATCCCCCGTTAAGCAAATATTGAACTTTCCTTCCCAATATTACACCAGTACAATTGAGTAGCAAATCAAATGCTACACAAATGGCTGGGGATTTTATTAGTAAACAGACCAGATGTGAATTCTTTCTTCATTTTTTTTGCTCAACTAAAGTCTCATTAGTGGCAGAAGAAGATATGTTTGAAACTGATAATGCTCTAAATAATAATGGGTAGTAGTCTTTAGACAGTATTTTAGCTTAACCTCTAGGAATAGCACTTTAAGGAGCATAGATCTTCCTTGCTGCAAAGCCCTCAGCACTCACACAACAATAACCAGCAGAGAGATAAAATATGAGGAACTAACAACATATTTCATCATTATAAAATTTTCCATCACTGGAACATTTTGCAAATCATCCAGTATTTTTTTGTAAATAAGTCC